GTTAAATTGGTTCCCTGTCGAGGCTAATAGGCATTTAAACTCTTAGGCTTCCTTTTATTAATTACTAATTGAACCCCAAAGGCTTTGTAACGAAATTGCTACAATGATATTGAAAAAGAAAACTGTTTGTCATTTAAGTCAAAAGATATGACAGATTAAAACCGTACCTAGCGATGAAATCTAATACTTTGTGACGGTGTGATCTCCTTACACCGTCATTTCACCTCTTTGTATCGCCTCTCTCCGCTTGTTCCTATCATTTTTTATTTACATGTATTTAAATTTGAATTGTTTCATCTTCCTTCACTTTCTCATTTTGTTTTCGTACCACGGTCACTCCCGGCTCGACCGCCACAATAGTCGGAGCTGTTCCAAATTCCATTTATTAAAATCTTATTTTTGATTCTTTGCCAAGTTATAATATAAAACATAATACAACAGTCGGAGCTAAAGAATTATCAAAAATTTGCTGCAATAGTTTTTCGACCAAAAATGAAGCCATAAACCCAGATGTAATGGTGCCGCCATTGAAACCCTGGCTATTACACGAATATAAAGATTTGTACAAACGCTTTCTGGCGCTTTCCAACTTTAGACACTTTTGCGGACGTGGGCGCAACAACTCATGTAAGTTTTATCGATACCCTAAGATAATACTTAATAGTTACCACTAAGGTTTTACCTAGTGATAAGAAAGAGTCGTTTTTAAAAGAGCCTATTACAACTCAACATTCGTGAAGCGATTAACGAAATAGAACCACCATTTTGTCAAAAATTAAAAACTTTGATGACAGAATCGACGTCTGTAACTGTGGCCGTGGTGGACATTTATCAGATATCATTTTCCTCATAACTGCCAAACCTTACTTTTTTATCAAGTTTAAAATTTGCATCATTGTCATCTAAATTTATTGTTTTATTTTGATTTACGAAACAAAGTTCTTGTTGAAAAATCCTATACTCATTTTACAGTAATTATGTCGGACGGGGAAGTAGACCTCCTGCATCCGCTGATGTTAAGGTCGAATAATGTGTAAAAAACCTGCATCAGCAACAACCGTAATCTATATGACACATCAACCCTGATATTTACGTTTTCAGGCATATAAAGACCGCAACAACCGTACCGTGCTGAATATAATAATTGACTGAAATATTTCAAAATGTGTTCTTTTGAAACCAGACGTCGAATTGCCGATATTGGCACTCTGCACAGGACGGTGCAACGGAGGTATCTCGTCGCGAGAGGCACTGGCCCTCATCAACTTAAACGTTCCACGTAGAGTGCCTAAGGTCCCTATTGTCAAATCATTTGTTTTGTCTAGTAGCCGAAGTAATTTCGGAAGGTATGTCCCCTTGAACAGTCTCATTCAGTCATGCAATGACTTGACTGTGACCAGAGATAATAACATAGACATCTTTCATATAGGGAACTCTAAATTTTAAATTCGCATTGGCTAAATCTAAATTTTCAGTGCTGTTTACGCCTGGAGCTATTTGGCACCTTGTGTATTGTTGGTGTATCTTATATAAATAAATAAATATTAGCGGCAGTAGTGTAGGAGCGTGGCTTGTTTTCATATTCATATTCATCTTTATTTGCAAGCTACATGGTAAATTAAGATTTTTCAATTTTTATCACAGTACATGTAATATAAATGTTGTTTAATTGTTATATAAATGTTAAATATGTGTTTGTACATGCACGCATTCGTATAATCCCGCAGTGCATTCACGTTGCATAGCGCGGGTTGACACAAGTGCCATTTATTTTAGAATTAAATCGCTCAGCGTTTAAAAAATGGCGTCATAAGAATGACGTCAAGAGTGCCTCAACTTCAGAATTTCATTTATATTTTATAATCATACTATTCCGCGATGCTGTAGGGCTGGCACGATTAGACGCGACTTGCGCGACAGCGACATAAATCGCGATATCTCTATGCGAGAATAGCAGTATCGCGCGCCTCATCGTGCTACCCCTAATGGTATTAATATATCAACGTACGCTACGCATTTTTCAGACGAGTATGACACTATGTAACATATAACAATCTAAATTAGGTTCAGCTTCTGGTTTGACAGCATTGCAAACTTTGCCGTCTTGTATACACATAGCTGCCTTCTTACATAACTATTTAGTGGTATTTACAAAACGTGGCCATTGTGTTTTTCCCTCAGGTCCCGCTCTGACCTGTAAATTTATTATTGTTTTTAAAATAAAAGACATGTTTATGATGGTTACGAAATGTTTAATGTTAAAAAAAATATAAAGGAACGAAAAAACATCTTGTGTAGTCTGGGTGCTCGATGTTTAGTTGGCTGGCTTTATACATTTTTCGCTTTCGCGCCATTTTTAACCGACTTATGTTTTTTTTTGTATGTATGTTACGCGATAACGCCGGTATTTGTGAACCGATTTTCATGATTCTTTTTTTGTTGGAAAGAGGGTACTTCCATAGTGGTCCCATTTCATTTTGAAGAAAATCATCCACCTCTAAGGGTGGCTGAACACGCATGAACATTCAGTTTTATAAATAGCGCCTAAATTTTACTTAGGGAGCAATTATTTTAATGGTTGATTTTGCTATTTCTCCAATTCAAGGCGTTTTTCTCTCTCAATATACTTTGAGTAGTGAGAACCGATGTTTATTATCTCCTGTGTCTAGTCCCGTACAGTGGCGAACTAGGGGATATTTCAATAAAACTAGATGTAATTCTGAGATTATTTAGTTTCTGAATACATTCAACATGAACTTGTTGTATATAGGGTATTATTTAAAACTTATTGTTACACGTGTTCTGTTTTGTGAAAGCGGGAAACTGCCTCCGTGGCCGAACGGTTACCATGCTGAACTGGTCCAAAAAAGGTCCTGGGTTCGATTCGCAGGACGAGAAATATGGCCTACGTTTATTTCTCTCGTGAGTTTGGATGTTAATTTGTGATTATTTATGTGTGTGTGCAAGGCACTCGCGATACAGGATTTCTCTAGTACCGTCCCGTACGTCAGCGTATACGCGTTATTATTTTCACGGTCATGTAAGTTGATAAGTACCATGTGCCTGAAATTTCACCAGCACCTTCACATTACTGCTTAGCTGCAGACATGAGTAAGGTGGCTGCAATTCCCTGGACGAACTCTCTTACAAGGCCCTCTTCTGCTACTAAATCTACATATTTGCAGGTTCTTTGTCCATAATTTGTAGTATTTTGGTTGAAATATACTATTGATTTGAAATATAATGTTCCCCGTTTCTTTAACCTGACCTTTGACCTGACCATAAAAGCAAGGGAAATAAAACTAAAACCAATTATGAAATGATGTTGAATAATCCAGAAACAAAAATCTTGTTACATGTGTAACGATGCGATCTATGTAGTTAATAATGTCGTGTATAATTGTTGTTAAGTAAGTTACTTGTAGGGATATTCTCACAAGACAGTGAAGCATTTTGTACGGAGTGTATTTACTTCACCGAGTGTATAACCGGTAATAGAGACTAAATGTCATTTAATTTGTTTGAAATTTATCTGCCAAATCATTACGATTAGCCAGCCCGAATCCGAAACAATTGACGGGTGTCGTCAATTGTTTTACTTCAAATCGACCAGTTTAACTTGAGCATTGCTATAATGGACGAAAATTGAAAAATTACATATTTAATTACCCATGAAATGTGACCCCGTCTGTTTTGTAATTAGATGTTATTCTGTTTTTCCCACACCACATTTTTGGAATGTACAGAGACACAGGTAAGTTGTTGGCGCTGTAATATTTCAGCTTTCTAATTTGTGATTTCAGCGCAAACGAGAGTTGATATTAAAAGTGATATAAGGCCTATTTGACTGATGAGTTGCCAGGGATGGATGACCCTTATTTCGTCTCTATTTCTGGTTATATACACCATGCATTACATAAACCATCTTACACTGTAAATCACGTTACACATCCCATTTCTCAGACAAGAGATACATTCAGCTAGTTACAAGCGTAACTCTTCCAAGGTGGTGTACCGCTGGCACAACAAGCACAGACTTATCAAACGCCAAACTATCCGCAAACATGTGTAAATTCACAAATTGAGAGTTTAAACCCCTGGTTATTCCAATCGGTCTCGATCCTGACTTGCAAATTGTCTTGGGAGAATATCCCTACAAGTCGCTTTACTTCACAACAATTATACACAACACCATTACACATATTTTAATTTATCGCCCCCAGTTCTCCCAAGAAAATTCGTCATATTCGGGATTTGGTTTCGACGACATCTCTCTGGCAGCTGTTAGTTTCGGTAGCTTTGGCTCCTCGTAGTCCTTTCCACAATTGTCTTTCCAGGGCAGAAGACTCACTTTTGGTATATCTAAGCACTTTACCATCTCGTTTCTGAAAGAAGCATTTAATGCAATTAATGAAATGTACTGTCATCTGTTTTCCTTTACGTATCGTTTACGGCGGCTGAAAAGTAATCTACCTAAGTGTGAAATAATAGACTACCAAACAACAAATGCACTTATTATATTTGTTACATAGGGAAATTAAACGTTAGCCTTTGCCTTTTGTCTCAATTTTTTTTCGTATTCGAATGATTTGAATGACCGTTCATTACTAATTAGTAGTACTAATCCATAGATTCCATAGAGAATTTCTGCTCGTGATCATCTAACAAAAAACACTGTAAAACACTGTAAATGTGCAGGGACAGGGATATTTTTTGGTATCATTGACTTACAATTATATGGACGTCGGGTCCGCGCTAAAAAATGTCCGAACTTATAGGGCGTTAAAATCGTATACAGAGCGTCATTCACGCTTTACTCTTCGTTTGTTTGACTGACAGCGAAGCAAGCACAATTAGACAGTACTGCGATGACATTACAACTTAAAAGCTTTTTCATATTCGTTAACATGTCACTACGTTTAAATAGGTTGACTTGGGACATTTTTTTCGTGGTTTTTGTATTAGACCCGTCGTCCATTAATTTGTAAGTCAATGTTTGGTATGGACAAATTTTTTGGTATGAACAAGATGAATTAGGTGTTCCGGTATAATAATCATTCGACTCGTGTACCCAACCGACTAGCAGAGGCATTCGATATTGTCAGTCATTCAACTCGAGTCAAATGATTGTGCTTGGATGATTTGCCCATTCGAATGATTAGTATTAGTACCATTCAAAATCGCGCATCGCTATTCTGAGACAATAAATCGACTCATCCGAAGAACACAGTCCGATGTGATTATATAGCGAAAAGAGAATAAGTACGTTACAGAATAATTTCATTATTCAAACTAAGGCCTACGTAAAGGTGTTTTGAGAATTTATATATCTTGTTTCGTTTCGGAAATTATAAAATTGAACAATAGTCGATCTGACATTCACAGCGAAGAAGAACGAACGAAATGTACTATGTCCTGAGAATAAGTAGCCTTGCACATAGACCTTTGTTCTACGGATGTGTCGAAATGATTTATTTGTTTATTATTAACCTAGCAAGCAGATCGGAATCCCACTTATCCCCTATAGCCTAGTTCCCACTATCCGGCAAATTTGCCGGGTCGGTAAAACTTAAGGCAAAGGCATTTTTAATGCGGCCATCATTTTTGCACGCCAAAACAACACAATAAGGGTTCCTCTGATTTTGAAAAATTTGCACGAAAGAATGACACAACCGTACCATACAAAGCTAAAATGGCGGACTGAGCTTGGATAGGTCTTTCGAGACCTATAATTGACACGCGTCTGACGCTAACTAACCACTTCTACTGTATTTATTGTTCTGTATGCCCATACCCGGGCCTTTCTCTCTTTATGCCCAACTAGCAACCTTATAGCTATCGTCTTACCCTTTATCCGGTAAGAGGAACATGTTGGGCTGTACTTCATCGACCTCGTCTCCATTGTCGCAAAGAATCCTGGACATCGTTGATTTCCTGATCTCGTACAATTGTTCTATAAATTAGCATGTTATTTATTACTTATAAACAACTTTAAACCGCGGTAGTTTAATTGTGTGACCTGCAGCCTTTAAAACAGGGACCGTGGCTTCGAATCTGGGATTTACTCCCGTTAATGCTTGTCTTTTGATTTGGTCGATTACTTATTTGACACCCCTCTTGGAAGTGTGGCGTAAGTGGAGTTATGTCAAAAATGTTTATAGCTCCATTAGAACGTTTAACACTAGAACATTAGAAAATTCTAAAGAACAGTACACTCCAGGAATATCAGGGTCACAACATGAAAATCGTCCGATGGGCATCAGTCACCAACACAGCCCACCAGGTCCTAGGCAACAGAGTGGTTACAAAGTGGGACAGGTTGCCTGAGGACGTGGTTAATGGTCTCCGGAGCCTGCATTGCACGGTCTCACTCGTCTGGGGGAGGGTCGGAGGACAACCGACTCGTCCCTCCGTTGGCGCGGGAGCCCTGGCGCAAGCTAGGGCGGCCGGGCGGCGTCGTGGTGAATGTTCACCGATCCCACGGCGCCGACTCAACCGGCGAGAGGGAAACCCAGGGGGGTTTTAGTGGGGTAGGCCCTCCAGTCTGGAGAGAGAGTCCCCACATAACCCCTGAGTCGCCCTGGGCTATCCATAAAGATTTCCCCCCCCCGTAAAAAAAAGGACGTGGTTAATGCAAGCTCAGTGAACGCTTTCAAAAACCAACTGGATAGCTGGTTAAAAAAGAAGAATTTGTGTCTTCTGAGTCTTTAAGTTCTTCTAGTGTTTTGTGGACTTTAACGAAAAGATTCAGGACTATTTGTGAATTGGTTACCTATCAATAGTCCCAAATGACATTTGCCAGAAATAACGTTTGATCGAAATTTCATAACCTCGAAAGTAATTTTGAGAGGAAAATGTTTTTTCTTTTAAACCTCACTTAACCTAACCTACTTAATCGGACCTAATCGTGTCTTTGCTATAAACATTCAACATATCCGGAAAGAACAACTGTTTCACTATAATTCGGTTTTCGGTGTAAAGAAAATTCGAACAAACGTTATTTCGAACAAAAAAAAAATTCGACTTTGTGATAGGTTACTTTGATATAGGCATATCGGCTTCAAGCTACTCGTCTATTAATAATAAATAAATAAAAATGGGTCATCCCACATCTTCTCCAGCTCTTGTATCTGCAATATAGTCGATAGAGTTACAAAAATTGGAGAGGATATGTGTTATGTTTTTCTGTATCTAATGGAGCAATAAACGTTTTTGACGTAACTCCACTTATGCTATTTATCTATGAGGAGTGCGAATTGTTTCAGACGGAAAACGGGAGGAGTCTCCTGGACTGTGAGTTTTTCGGAATTTAGGTATGTGCGTAATTTGAAATATACCATGAGCTTGTGTTGTTGTGTTGAAACCGTGCTCGTCGGAGAAGGTCACAACCATCGGAAAAATGTGAAGTTTCCAATCCGCATTGAGCCAGCGTAGCGGTCTATGGCCTTAGTCCTCGTCTGAGAGGAGACCCGTGTCCGGCAGTGAGACGTAAAAATGATGATGATAAACACGTTCGTATAATTGCAACTTTTAAGTACAGATTTCAGAGTTCAAAATTTTTTCGATACTTTTGTGTGAACCAGCAGCAGACCAGTAGTACAATCCTATTGTCATAGAAACTACAGCTGTATACAAAAGTTCAGCTCAATCGTAAATTAGAAACTGGATAAAAGTTAACTTACAGGATACTAACTTAACTCATACAATTGAAATAAGTACAGCCACTAAACCCTTTTTGGTCTTTTTGGCAATATTATAATTTTGAGGTATAAAACCACCGCCGGCCAGCTAACCAGGTACAAAGAGTTCTTTGTCATTGTCCGATACACGAGCTATCATCTCCTAATACGACGTTTGAAACTTCCCTTACACTCTCCAATACTTGTGTCCTTTAGTTGGTCGCAGCATCCATTCGTAGTATTTAAAACTGGATGGGAAATATATGATCTCACCTTCAGTGAAAGCTCCAGGATGCTGGTTGTTCTCGAACCAGAACCGATCAGATTTCCTCCACCACCAGAGCTGGTCGGCCATGATGCACTTCAAGGTCGGAGGCACCGGGCCATCGAGGAACTTTTCCCCTAGGATTCCTGGAAATAGCTCTATGTCTTCGACACGTTCATATCTGAACCTAAGCGCGTCCACTTTCTGCAAGATAAATAAAATAACAAAAGAACAATTAATTTTTTCCTTTTCTCTTTTTTTCTTTTTCTTTCCATCAGGATTCAAAAAATTTATTATTCTCCCGAAAAGTGATATCCTGCCCTTCGAGGCCGTGTGATTTGCCTATTATCATACCCTTAAAATATATTACTTCTGTCTTAACGTTTCTATGTTCAGAATAACATAATATGTATCTCTCACGAAGCTAGTCAGAGACTATGGACATACACTTACTACGTTCCCGATATATCTCTTTCTATTCCCACCGCGTCATAATTTTTCTCATACTCGTTTATTCTTGTTAGTTTTAACTTGCTTATTCAAACCTAGTTAATAAGCGTTTGAGTCGTACTTCCGTTGGCATCCATTCCAAAAGATCATCGAACTCCTTCGGCACTGGTAAATGGCAATATTTCCTGTATTCCACATACGGCGGGAGCCCAGCCTCGCGGCCTCTGTGGATGTCCGTCGCCATGATATCGGAGACCGATTGTAGAGTGCCCAAGACTCTTTCCCCCATCTATTGAGAAAGTATTACGTTTAATGTTATCAGTTTATTCCGCATTACCGTCTGAAGGGGCTCAGATATTAAAAGGAGGCAGTGGACTTTGTTCCTTCCGTTCTGAAGAGTTTACCCATAAAACCAATTGTATTGTAATTTTGGAAAAATATTGGTGACACTCACCTTTAACTCCTGTGCAGCTGCGTGTTGGCGGCGGTTAGAAGATAACTCATTATTTGCGACGAACGAATATCATAAATAGTATATCTTTTTCTCTTATTGTTCACATTATAATTTTACATATTGTACGTAAGACTGGCTTTCTGAGTGCTTTAGGTCACTCGGTAAACTCACAATTTATATTTTTATTATCAATGGTTGATGTAATGTTTATGATGTATGCTAGCGTGTTCCCGCTTGGTCTTTACAAGGTTGTCAATCTTTCCAGAGTACTGATACAATTTTTATAACAATACTTACGTCAGGGTCAATGACATAGTCGGCTTCTGCAGTGCCCTGCCTGAAGAAACCTTGAGTGATGCCTTCAATGGTATTGTTGATAGTCAGGGCTCCTGTGCGAAGCGTAAACTCCACTATCTTCATCTCCTCGAGGAGTTTTCCTTTGCGAGTGTATTTACTGAAAAATTATCTGTTTTGATCATAGCAAGCAAGAGAAACCGAGGACGATACATTGATAAGCGACTTATTGGGAAAAAATTCAGAAACTTTTTGCATTTTGGTTCTCAAGGCTACCACTCCAGAATTTTTCATAGCCAATTCTATCACTCCTTAAACAACGTAATGATGAGTGAGTGGAAGTACACTGCCTCCAAGTTATCATGCTGATCTGCCACGCAGAGGTCCTGGTTTTGATTCCCGGGAGAAATATTTGTGCTCTCGTGAGTTTGGGTGTAATATTTCAGCAGTAGATCTCCTTGTGATATAGTTCATCCAGGGAAGTACTACCACCTTACCTATTTCTGCTGACAATCAATAACGTCAGCATTACTGTGTTCCGGGTTTGAAAAGTAAGAGTACTTGTGAAATTACAGACAAGTCCCATTGTCAACTTATGTCTCAGGGTGACAGTGCTACTCATATCTTTGCGACTTAAAGCTCTGAGTGGCACTGCAACTGTTAGGGACAGGCGTGTAGCTTTTCATCAGGCGCACGACTTGTTCGTCCACTTGTTATTATAAAAAAAATTGTAGTTATCTGTGTGTGTCATGGACACACACAGACAACTTCTAAGGTTTTCTCAGTGCGGGGCTATAAAGACCAAAAATAAGAAAGATGGAACAGGAAGCAGAACGTAAAAACAAGGTAATATTTATGTGAAACGTACTTCAGCCGTCCGTCCTGCATATTATGAAACCACCTATACAAGACGACGAATTCGATGCTGACGCGGGGCTCTAACTTTTGGTTGTAATCGTTGACATGGCCTTTCGTGTCGTATATTATCTCCCTGTCGCGAAGGTAGTCGTAACCTGTGACAGTATTTGTTTGTTAAAGATCCATTTTGAACCGAATTTTACAGTCGGTTAAAAAAACCAAAGAAATTCATCCATTTTCACTCATGGATACTTACCTAACAGAAGCGGAAACATCTCATAATACCATATCTGGTTTAACAAGCCAATGTGAATCTCCTTTGTCGTCGTATAGATTAACTCGTCATTCCAGCAGGGGTTCATTCTTTCGAGCTCGCGAGCTACTCTGTTATGGTTTCGGAATAGCCAGACTGTGAGGACGTTTGGCCCTATTAGCAGGTTCGATGCTAGATCAGCTGAAAGAAAAAGGGATTACATTTACTGCCTGCACGACCGAACGGCTACCATGCTGGCCTGCCACACTGAGAAATATTTATGTAACCTACATGTGTTTCTCTCACGAGACCAAATCGGACCAAAGTACATTTGAAATCTTCATATTGATTAGAATAGAATGGAATAAAAAACCATTTATTGTAACGCCTAACGCCACATTATAAAAAAAAACACAAAAGCAAAGGCTAATATAACTAGAACACAAAAAACAGCGTAAAAACATTTAAACAACATATTACATAATACTATACTGACATGTCTGCGGCTGTGGCGTGTACAAAAGGATCCCATTCGGCTAAAGTCACAACCAAGGCTAGGTTACGCTGTGACGCTGGTATTCAATGGGCCCTAGCGGAGTGAGTGAGAGTGACGTACATATGCGTCCCTACTACATACGTCGATTAAACTCTACTGCAGCTGACAATGATAAACATCTTTCAGTTACTTACGGGAATCATGACATCTAGTCTCCCCAAGAGGTAATTGATTCTGTACGCAAATATATGACCCAGTCGGGGGAAATTCTCTGCCATTGACAAAATCCGTTTTGAGCCTGCCCCCTCGCAGTTCACGTCCCCGCCTCGCCCGTGTCTCGTCATTGCCGTATATCCCTGATAGGTCTAGCAGTGGAGCTGCTAGGTTGACCTGAAGAGATACAATGGTTTTAAAGGAGTGTTCAGGCCGTCCGTTACCACTCTAATTCGGTCTTCAAGATGTTGCCTGGCAGCGAAGGAAAGATTGTTATTAAAGGGTGCATTCTTTTTTTTTATAATATCAAGTGACGGGACTAACAAGCCGTGCGCCCGGTGGTAAGCTACACGCCTGTCCATAACAGTTGCAGTGCCACTCAGCTTTAAATTACAAAGATCTGAAGGGCACTGCCACTACGCCCGTCACCCGTGGACATAAGGTGACAAGTCCCATGTGCCAGCACTCTTAAACTTCAAAACCGGAATGCAGTAATGCTAACATTCCTGCTTGGCAGCAGTACTTCCCTGGATGAAATCTTTCACAAGGAGCTACTGCTACTAAACAAGAGATATATATTTTAAATGCTGCACATTTTATTGCCATCTGGATGCTAGATTCATTGGTGAGACCACAAAAGAATATGAACTTTACTACGGTTCTGGTGTTGGTGATCACGGTAGTGCTTTTGGTGTTCACGTATATTCAAGACCAGACAATATTCTTCTACTTACTCTTTCAGGAGGCAAAGTCGCCGGAGCGCATCCCAAATCTTGATAGGTAATAGGCTTCGTGAGATTGAGGCAGCGAGTTTGACTATAGCGAAGGTGAAAGTCGTCGTTAGGGACATAGATCGGCCGGCAGCGGGGATCAGAATCACCTGTAGTAGAAACAAAGGATGAAGCTACACAGATATGCTTAATTAATTCCCACTTGCAATGGCTACTCCATACACCTAATGGTGTCAGATTTGTACCGATCGAGAACATTGCAATCACCACAAGAATATACCAGTGTTGTTTTATGGTAGACGTACGTAGGACATTAGTTACCCTTAACAACGTACTCACATGATACAGCTCAAGAAATTAAAAAACTTCTTGTACATATTCTTGTTTCTCATCGGCTGCCCCATACACGTGATTATTATGATTTTATGTTCACCGATCGAGGACATTGCATAAGCTCACGTCCAAAGCATGGCTATGCTACTTTATACTGTTGTACTTTTTACACTTTACTGGTTCCTAACTCTTACTTTTAAAATTTCGAACCGTACCCAAATTATTCTTACGTTGGTTCATTCCGTCATCACTTTCATCAAACTTCTCGAAGCGAGAGGACGTGCATTCCTCTGGTAAATTTATTCTGCTTTATTGTCAAAATTTCTTATGTGCGTTTTGTAACGAAGAAACGTAAAATTGTGTGAAAAATTGTTAGTGCACATACCTATGCTGCCGTAAACAGTTCGTAAAACGTCAAGAAATGATAAACGACGACAAAGTCACCAACAGGGCTCTCAGACAAGTCGAAGATACATACTTCCAGACTACAATAGCAGACAATTAATCAAAGGCAATAGTGTCACTTTGGCCGATTCTGCATAGCCAAGGAACCTACCACCAGCAAATTGTACTCTATAACTGCTAGCTCTATCTACCAGTTATAACACGTTTTCGTATCAAAACCGAGGCGTTACTTACCAGTAATGCAGCAAGTAGGAGTAAACAATACGTAATTGAAAATATCATGGACCGTAGTGCAGTCCCCGAGGATTGCGAGCAGGCCACTCATGAGCTGCGTAGTAAAAGTTTTGCTTGCGATGCGCCCGTCAGACATTAGTGATGTGCGGACTGCGCGGATGTTGGGGAGGGGCATTCCTGTTGGAAAAACAATATTTTCTCGTATTATATAAACGTCTATTACATTATCCAATTTCAAGGAACTCTTTTTAAGATTTAGAGAGTTAGGTTCCCCATTTAGTACGCCAACGGCGATCCCATCTGCTACACCCTGCTGCTCGAGCAGTCCCATATTTTTCTACATAAGTTTTGTTTATAGTGCCCCTCCCTATCAACCCCTTGGTTATGCGGGAAGGGCTCTATGACCTGTACGAGCAAGCCTTCTCGTGTACGAGCAAGACTTCATCCGGTTCTCTGTAAGGCTAATGCCTTCGGTGAGCCTACACGGGTGCACGTACAGCTTCCTCCCTATTTTCCAGATTGGTACCGGAGCTGTGGGCACGCTCACTTTCCGTCGCGCTCTGCGCAACTATCGGTTACCACTACACTTAGGGCAGAGACGCGACGAATGCGGAAAACAGTTGGTGTCAGCCATTTTGTCTTTCTATCGCCATGTTGCGCAGTAAAGAAAAAGAAGTATTGTTGTGCTTGATAGACATGTACAAAGACATGCCGGTAACCTATCACAAACTCGAATTTTTTTTACCCTAAATAACGTTTGTTCGAATTTTCATTACACCGAAAACCGAATTATAACGAAACCGTTGCTCTTTAAGGATATGTTGCATGTTTATCGTAAAAACACGATTAGGTTCACGATTTTATTCAATTTTTGTGGTAAATATACCCAAATACGCTTTTCATCTCCATTTCACCTGATGGAAAGTGACGATGACATCGACAATGGCACAAACACACATAATAATGCCTATACACTCTTGCCTTGCAAAGGCCCAAGTTATAGCGTTCAGGGAATAAGTCTGCAGGCAAAGGATTCCACTGCAACGCCGTACATCAGTGTGAATCTTGGATATCCCTTCAACATAAGAGTGAAGTGTAGCCTACGTCTGGTATCCCGATGATAAAAAGGGGACAGCGGAATGATTTCATGCCATTCCGTCGCACACTTTCCATACTATATCTTGTAAAATACTGACAAGCAGGCAATTTTATGGCTTTGCAGCTTATCCTCTACTCTACTAATTCTAAATCATCCATAAGATTTTTAGCAAGTTTCTCAATGAAATCCAATGTGGCCAATTAGTACTCAGTAAATCCATGTCATATGTGACAGCAGTACTCCATAAACGACTGGACTTGTGCTTGGTGCAGTTGTAGCTTATACGACTTCGCGGTTATGCAATTGCTGGACTCGTGCCTTAGCAAACCTCGCTTGTGGCTCTGTCCTCACTAATGCACAAGGTCAACTCCATGCATGTGTTCTTGACTCTTTTCTGTGTAAAAAACGCTACTCACCCGAAATCTGGGGTCTGTTGTCGTAGTTCCTCCCAAAGATAGGAGGAAGCATTCTTCTATACGGAGTAAAGACGGTGCCTCTGATAGGATAATGCAGGTTATTGCAAGAGTAGTCTGCGCGGCGTGTCTCCTTTTCGTTACATGTCTTGATCTCTTGGGCGCAGTAACTAAAATTTGATGAAGTCACATAGAGATCTTCTAGATGGTAGGACACTAATTGCTTCAAACTACTTTAAAGACACGTAAGAAGAGAGGATGTAAGAAGAAAATCATAAATAACAAAGAACTAGGGAAGAATAAGAACGCATTCTATACTTTATTTATTTATTTCATACAAATAAGGCATACAAGAAAACATAATACAATTCCTCACCGAACTCCGAAAGCAGTATCTTATCGAGGTTACACTCAGGGTCGTATTCCCGAACTCTACTCAATACTCAAGTCAGGACTTGAGTATTGCAGTGAGCACTGAAAATCATACTCAAGTCCTTGCCATTAGGGTCGTATTTCCAGTGCTTGCAATCATACTCAAGTCTGTTCAAATCCTGCCTTGAGCATTGAGTAGAGTTCTAGAATACGACCCTCACAGTCACAAAACTATAGTATACCTAGTAAGAGTAGTAAAATTTAACTTAATTTACACGCTTTCAAGTGAAACGCGCGATTGCATCGATGCAAACGTGCGTGAAAACGTAACACTCATTGTTACGTTCGCAATTATAATATTTGTTTGGATCAGTTACTTACGGGACCAAACCCAAAGATCGGTACTCCGCATACTTAAACGGTGATATCTGCTTCCCGGTGAAGGTATCGTAGAACTCCCCGACAACATTGGTCAACAACCCCAGCAACACCGCTGATAGAGGCCAGGTGCTATGCATCTCCTGGGAAGAAAAATGTATGCTGTTACTGTTCAGTCGCTTCCGTCGAAAGTGAACTGCGTTATGCAGAGAACATTCAACCCAATTAACGTTGGAATCGGTATATAAACAGTGCAGTAGAGCTCCTTGCAAAAGAGTTCGTCCAGGGAAGTACTGCCATCTTATCTATTTCTAATGTTAGCATTATTGCGTTCCGGTTTAGAATGGTAAGGGTGTTAGTGAAATTGCAGGCACATGGGACTTCTTCATTTATGTCTCAGGGTGACGGACGCAGCGGCGGTGCCCATAAGTTCCGTCGTGCGGAGAAACTCCTTTAATTAATAATATATTTTTATTTTATTTAACAAGTCGTGCGCAAAGTGATAACTGATAATCGTCACGCATTTCCTTCTCAACTTTAGTGCTACTGAGAAATTTAAATCGCAAAGATCTGAAGATATTACACCAGCATCCTTATTCTTCGAAACCGGAACGCAGTTTTGCTCACATTACCGCTCGGTGGCAGAAATACTTAAGGTGGCAGTACTTCCCTAGGTGAACTCTTTCACGAGGAGATGTCTGTATAACGCGATTCGTAATCTACTTGTGCAACGGGATAGAAAGCAGGGGGTCTACTTCAGTTGGTAAGTTATACTGGACCAAATGACAAAAGACTCATGATACGAATAAAGCTTGATACGTGACATTGTCTTCGGATTTCGTCCGGTATTACTTATTTGACAGGGATTGTTTCAGACGGAAGGCGGACAGTGAACGGTGTACGATGGACTTTATATCCATAGTTCGCTGGTTCAGATCCGGCTCGAAGGACCACTTTAGCCTGTTGAATAAAAGGCTAAGCAACTTTGAAATATAGTTTTTTTTTGTTAGATAGAATATCGTTACATGTTACCGTATTTGTATTGCAAAAACGAGCGATTCGTTCTGTGTACCGTCTAGGCTCTCGGGTATCTCTCAGAGAAAAGTTTAAGGAGACTGGTATCATGACTGTGGCATCACAGTACATTTACTCAAATATTTTATATGCCCGTAAAAATATACATAATTTCAATAAGAAAGAAGATATCCATAATATTAACCTTAGAGCTAAGTCCAAACTCATGTTACCACGATTTAGTTTAACCAAGGTAAACGACTCTTTTATGGGGAATTGTATACGTTTTTACAATAAGATTACGGAGCATATATTTAGTTTATCATTTCCAAAGTTTAAAAACTACATTAAAAATATTTTGATCGAAAAATCATGTTAGAAAATTTAAGACTACGTGTTAGATAAGGATGTGTGGAAAGACGACATGGCTCCAGAATCCACACAAATTTGATTCAAAGTGTATTCCATAGCAATTAAGTTTATTTGAAAAGAGCAATCCCTAGAGTTTCTTGCTCGTTCTTCTCAGGGAGGTCAGCGTAGTGAACGAGCAGTAGCTTAAATGTGACGATTTCAAGTGTAAATTTATTTTACCTATGGAATAAATTATCTTTGACTTTGAACAAATCGATTCATTCAAGCAATTAATCGATTTGTAGTTGGCATTACAATTGACCATCACTAAATCGTCGGTTTTGACGAAAGCGGTTCGAAGAACCTTACAATAACTCTGTTGTCGACCGATTCGATTAGATATAGTAAGATTTCTTTTCATTTTTATTCACAATAACCGAATCGAGTGTCAAACTGTCGTATTCGAAACCGAACCGAAACGACCTCACACCCGTACGAATACTCGAACTTCTCGACCGGCAAAGGCTACAAACATTATTCAGAACACAATTTATTTAAAAAAAAAAGACTGGATTTTGTTCAATTTTATTAATTTATTTTAATGCGTGGCTAATGCATTCCTATATTTTAGACCTTTAAAGTGTTAAAATTGTATATAAAAGGATTTCATTTTTCTTAAAGATAAAGATAAGATAAAGATCGATTTATTTGTGGAAGTAGGTACAATAAGTTCATTAGATCAGTTCAATACATTAACAGTGCTACTACAACCAGTTTCGTCGAAACATACAAATATAATTAGTGGTGGTCAAGTGGCGGTCGCATAATGTACAAAACATTATGGTTAAAAACTGTCAAAAACTAGTAAACATGCAAAGAAAAAATATAATAAAAATTAGTAAAAATTAACAATGTCAAAGATAAAGCGAAAAATCATGTTAATGTCAAACTTACATAATTTACATTTCTAAGCCTCCATAAAATATGTGCATGTCAAAAATGAATGAAAGTCAATAATAACATAAATTAGTCAAATACATCTGTAATCTTATGTAATCTTACTAGATATAAAAACAATTATAATTGGGGACCTAAATCCATCTCGTATTCATATAATCATTTATATTATAAAAACATTTATCAATTATTATATATATATATATATATATATATATATATTAATATATTATATATCTTGTAATCTATAGTCGCCGACGAACTCGATAAACGTTGTTGGATAACGATATTGTATCCTAATCCGAACGTTTACCTCGGAATGTTCTGAGTAGATCGGAAAGCGCCCTTCGATTCGAAAACGAGATCCAATCGACCGATTCCGTTAAGCTATGGAAGAGTTCCGAATAGGGGTCCTGATTGTAATCGAGGCTCAAGGTACTTCCATTGTTTTTTCTTCCTGCGTATATCAATGCATAGCTTATTGAACATTGCAAAACGGATCTCATATCATTCTATCTATTATTATATTATCAATTTCATCAGATGCACGCTGACCTGGTCAGCCTGACATTTTGACAGTCAAATTAAAATATGTTATTAATATATTAACAAACTGCTAATGCAATAGGTCACGCAATAATAGGATGTAACGGTTAAGTAATAAAGGCTTTTAAATGGCTGACAAGTGAGATTTGTGCTTACAGAATTAACTTTTATTATATCTAGTTTACGTTTATCGAGTTATTAGGTTTTCGCTATTGTTACACATAGGAAATGAAACTATTTTTCATCTCAGTCAACCGTGACCATGTGACCTGTAATGTTGGTTTGTTTTGAAAAAAGAAATATACGCGATTTGAATCCCGAAAATAGTTTCATTTCCTAGTTTCGCTTTTGAAGGGTGCTGTTGACATTGCAGGTGCATGAGACTTGTCAACTTATGTCTCAGGGTGACGGGCGCAGTGGCGTGAGCCTCAAATTGTTACGATTTAAAGTTCTGAGTGGTAATGCAACTGTTATGGACAGGCGTGTAGCTTACCAGCAGGCGCACGACAGGTCCGTCCTGTCACTTGATAATATAAAAAAAAAAGATTTTTTGTGAAACAACACCACTAGCTTTGACGTTGTGAAGTTTTTCGTCGACCCGGTGGGAGTGGTTATTTTATTTTTATTTTTATTTTATTTTATTGGTACAGTTACAGACATCAAATATAAAAATATTCTAGAATAACACTGTAACACTGATACCCAATGACAACTATACACAGCATTCGGTAAACAAAAAAGATAATGTTACGAAGAGCGGAAATATACTTACATACATATTATATTTAACTAATAAAATATTAAACTATGTCTAACGGATTTTACAATAAAGACAAATAGATAGAATAATAAGATAACAAAAAAAAAACTAAAACAAAAATTAATGAAAACTAATAGTTATAGTCACACATGAGTAAGTAATTTTGATTTGAAAGTTACAATATGACAATTAAATATATCGTGTTCAGCACATATTTCATTATAGCAACGACACATTCTTGTAATGGGATTATTTTTTGCAACATTATTAGTAGTGAGTGGCAGTGCAAAAAGCTGTGGTATACGCATATATTTACAAGGAACTTTAATATTAATATAGTTAGAGCAATGCTACTGTGCAGCATGGTCGTGGGTTCATGTCCCACCGTGTCGATGAAAAATTTTCTGCGTTCGATCTTTGTCAGTCATGTCGGAAGTTTGTCAGTAAAGATCATTCATATCTTTATTGCTTGTCGCATGGTTTCACATAAAATGCTATAAAATATAATATAATAGTGACACACGTGACACCCTGCTTAGGCGCCGCAATTCAGGAGAGCCCTACAAATTATATATAACTACCTCCGTGGCCGAACGGTTACCATGCCGACAAAATAATATATAATATAATACAGTGGCAGTCGTTGCCACGCAGAGGTCCCAGGTTCGATTCCCGGGCCGGGGGAAATATTTGTATGGTCTACATTTATTTCTCTCGTGAGTTTGGGTGTAATTTGTGGTTGTCTATGTGTGTGTCCATGGCACCAGCGACACAGGGTGTCCCTAGTGCGGGGCTATGTTGATTGTGAGCGTTATTATTATTATTAATCACAAATATTTTGTAATAACGTAAAATTAAATAACATTTACGTATTTATTATTTATGACCTAATCTATTTAATGACTAGGAAAATGTCACTAAAGTTTTATTAAATATTTCATCTAATTTATAAAATACGTTATTGAAACGGCATTTTTTCAGATAAGCGATAAATGTTGATAATTTTTCTTGGTTTTTTTATCTCATTTGGTATGGTGTTATAAATTTGAATTATATTATGTTATAATATCATTGACTTACAAATAAATGGACGACGGGTCTAATACAAAAACCACGAAAAAAAAGTCCCAAGTCAACCTATTTAAACGTAGTGACATGTAAAGGAATATGAAAAAGCTAAAACGTTGAATTTAAATTGTAATGTCATCGCAGTACTGTCTAATTTTGCTTGCTTCGCTGTCAGTCGAACAAACGAAGACTAAGGCGTGAATGACGCTCTGTATACGATTTTAACGCCCTATAAGTTCGGACACTTTTTAGCGCGGACCCGACGTCCATATAATTGTAAGTCAATGTATAATATATTAATTTTATTTGAATCCGTTGATTAATTAATGGATTCAAATAAAAACAAAAGATACATATGAGGCCTTTGTAACTCATCTAAAGAACTATCTACAGAGTAAAGCTTTAGAATATAGTACTTAAAAACGAATTACCAAGTATATCATA